CCAAGACAAAAACGCGTGAGCCGGAGGCTAAAAACTGTGAGCTAGCTCACACTAACTCGGCTTAGAGGGAACACTGGTGTGTGGGGGCTTTCCCTGGGCTGGTGGCGAAGCTTTTCCGGGGAAGCTCCTTGCGCTGAAGACCAAGCCCCCCCCCCCAGGAGGGGCGGCAAACAGCCAGGAGGAGGATGGGGGCTCCGGAGACTGAGCCCTAGGAGGAAAGGCCGAGGGACTTCTTGGGAATGTTGAGTTTGGAGGAGACTAAGGGGGGAATGCGATTGCTCTCTTTAAATATCTGAAAGACTGTCCTTTGGAGGAGGGCAAGCAGCTGTTCCAGTGGAGAGGACCCGAAGCAACGGGTTTAAGTTACACGCAGAAAGGGTATCGGCTGGATATCAGGAAAAACTTTTTCATGGTCACAGAGTGGTTCAGAGGTGGAATCAGCGGCCCGGGGAGGTAGTGGTGAGCTCCCCTTCACTGGCAACCTTCAAGAAGAGGCTGGACGGATATTTGTCAGGGATGCTGTTGAGGCTGGTCCTGCATTGGGCAGGGGGCTGGACTAGATGGTCTCTATGGACCCTTCCCACTCTGTGATTCCATGAGTCCGTGAGTCCTCCGCTTCTCTGGTGAGGGCCGAGTTCTTCTCTTTTGCCTGCTGATGCTGGGGTGGGGAATAGTAGGGGGGGAAAACCCCCCCCCCCCCCCCGCGGCCTCCCTCAATAGCACGAAGAGCCAGGCCGACTGCTATCTCCACATGCATTTCCCTAAGCAGTTCTCGGGGTGGAAGTGGGTGGGAGAGGGGTCCTGGCAGCCTCTTCTCCCAAAGTGGGGCTTTGGTGCCCGCAGCACTTTGCCCGACCCATCGGGGGCACCCTAAGCATCCTCCCGCTGGCTTCCGTGGGGGTGGGGTGTCACGGATCTTGTGGGCGACCGCCCTCTCACTCCTCCTGTCCTGGCCACTGCCCCCTGGTGACCCTTTTCAGAAGGCCGTGTTAACCTCCCTGTAGAGGCTGGGACCCTGCCCTGGGAGGGAGGGAGGGAGGGCAGCCAGCCAGCCATGGCACACCCCCCCACCTGGTTGGAAGCTGCCTTGGCGGGGAGCACCCCCACCCCTCTGTTGGCAGCTCCAGGATGGGCCGGGGGCCGGAGGAACAGGCCTCTCTTGCCCTGCTTGCGGTGGGCAAG